TTACATGTCAATGGTGAAGAGAAATTTGCACTTCAAATGGAAAGGGAAAATTTGCATTTGCAGAACATCATGGAGTTGGCAATAATAAACCATGGCACTGTCAGAATAGAAGTGGGTTCCTGCAACTCTTGCACTGCCTTCTGTAAGCCTGTGTTGTTGCTGAGGAAGTGAAATCTGGTTAGCAACATGACTGTGCAAGACGTCTTCAGAATGGTGAAGAGAAATTTGCACTTCAAATGGAAAGGGAAAATTTGCATTTGCAGAACATCATGGAGTTGGCAATAATAAACCATGGCACTGTCAGAATAGAAGTGGGTTCCTGCAACTCTTGCACTGCCTTCTGTAAGCCTGTGTTGTTGCTGAGGAAGTGAAATCTGGTTAGCAACATGACTGTGCAAGACGTCTTCAGATCTTTTACTGTTGTTCCCAATACATGTACAGCACATTTTTCATAACTGTATCAAATTGAAAACCTTTCAGATTTCCAATGTCTCCATAGATCCATAGCATGGCAGCTGCTATAGTTTTTAGCCAGGTCTGAATGCTTCAGCTACTCCGATGGCTCTGGGTTTTTGTGGGGCTCTTTTTATGTTTTCTTTAAAACAGTTTCATCCTCTGCATCTGACATAGATACAGTATCTGGCATTGTCTGAGTCTGTTCTCTGACTAGGGTTAGTACATGTTACCTTTCTGAAGCTTTATGTTTGTGTAACAATGGCAACATGAGCTGACCTAAAGAAAAAAGTGAATTTGAGAAAGAACTTGAATTACTATAGATATTGTTTACAGGCTGTGATAAACCCTAAGTGGATGAAGTCATCACTGCTGACATATGAGACAGGCTATTTCTTAATAGTTTGCCTGGACAGTTTTACTGTTGTTCTGGCCAGTGCAAGAGGGGCAGCAGGGCAGTGCTGTACCTGGGGCTTGTCTTGGTGCTATGTATTGTACAGCGATTTAGTAAGAATCACTTCCCAAAAAAACTTACCTAAATAAAGAAACTGTGGGATACGGGTGGGCAAAGCAACTGGAAGAATTCGGAAAAGAACAAAAAGGGAAGTGTGGTGAAAGAAAGCTGCTTTTATGGATTAGACATGTGGACATAGCTAGATGTCTGCAAACCCAGTTGTTCAAATATATCATGCATTAGAATCAGGTGGTTTATAAATCGTATTTTAATTCCAAGGCTTTAAAATAGAAAAATACCACATAGAAGCAATCTTAAGCACATTTTCACAAATGCTTTTTGCATGGTTTTTCTTTTATATTGCAAGACTGTTTCCTTTGCAAATGCAAATATATACTGTAATAAATTGTAATACAGGGCATACGAAGTATCCTTGACCTTCATGTAGCATAAGATGATTGTGATGAATCAAATCATTTAATGCAGCAGAGGTTAGTTTAAAAAGTATCCAAGGATGTATTCTAGACAGAGACCACAAATGTTGATTTACAGCTGGATCTGTGACGGAAGGCATCGTCTGCCGTTATCCCTGTAGCTGGGAAGAGAGAGAGAATTGCTGTGGAGTGTGCATTTAAGCTGGGTGGCATTAAATTGAACTGGCATCCAACACGTCATTTGCTTGCATCCCTCTTGTACTTCTGCAGGTTGTTCAGAAGTCCAACTCTAACCTGAGCTTCCAGCTCTTTACAGGACTGGGAAAGAAAACAGAAATGCAGGAAAGTCTCCTAGAAACTGTCTCCGTCCTTAGCCTAAACTCACTGACCAAGGCTCAAGAGAGACCAATGTTATGCATCATATTACAGAGCAGAAAAAATGAAACCTTTTATAAGTATAGGGTAAGGAACTGAGAACAGAAGCCCAGGTTCCCACTCTGATGCTTTTCCAATTTTCCTCCATTACCCCTAGACAGGGCCCAAACCTGAGTTTGCTAAGGACAATTCCAATGAAGTCAGCTTTGGGTTAGGTCTTTGTACGATCCATGCCTTTGCATCTGCAAGGCAGGATTGATAGTAATTCTCTTTTCTGGGCCAATGATTCATGTAGATAGTCTTGTGATTGAAGTAAGTAAAAAAATAGATTTTTCAGACCAGCTAATATATCTAACTCTTGAATTTTGGCCTGTGGAAACTCCTGAAATTTGATAACTGATTTATTTTTAAACACGTTACACTGAAGAATGGCCAGGACAAGGAGACAGGCTCATTTTAAATAATCAATTAATCAATTCCCAAACAGAACAGGATTGTGGAGCTTGCAGGAGAATTTCATGTTAAAATCAGAGATTACTCATTTTCCTAACTAATTATGATTTGACAGCAGAAAAACCCAACCCAACAAAATTATGAAAGCAATACTATGTATAATTGTTTAAAGAAAGAGAAGGAGATATTTCTGAGGACAATGCCTACATACAAATAATTATCTATGCCATTTCTCTCATCTCCTTGGCCTTATCATTCTTACCTGGTCTGCAACTACTTAGGAGGATGTAAGAATTGTGGATAATATTTTCACATGGGATGGCAGTTTCTATGCCACACCTTTTTTTTCCTCCTTTTGGAGAGTATCTGCCTTTGGTGAGTGGATAGATCTTGACTTCCAGAGTCATCTCCAGTTTCAGCTAGTGACTTACCTGTCACAGAGGTGCCAACCCTGTCATTGTAGCATGGTGCATTGCCTGCTGCTGTACGTACTGCTGCGGTCCAGCATAGGCATGTACGTTTTAACCTCGATGCAGTAGCTGACTCCTGGCTTCAAATCATTTATTTTAATAACCTTGTCTTTTCCTTCATACATCAGGACTCTGTGTTGCTTCAGACAGAGTGGAATAAAAAGAGCCAGTCAAGCACATTTCCCTAGCAAATGTGTCTGTGATTAAAATTTGCTAAGAACAGAGGATGCAGGACACCATATGGACTTAGACAAAGTCAATAGCATTGATTATTTATGATTACTAAAGAAAATCCCCCCTAAAATAAATTCCCCTTCTGTCCCAATTTTTTACCCTCAGTCTTAGAGTGTGAAATACTAAGTTGATGGGAAAATATTACAGGGAGGAATTACAACTCAATTCAATCCAATTCAATTCCTGAAAAATAAGCCTACTGTGTTTTCAAACCCTTGCACAGTCATCAATGCTCTCACAATCTCAGAAGACTATTTCAACTGCAAAACAAGAATGGTGTGCCCATACCTTCCTGGCTTTTCAATGGTAAAGGGTTCATGTTTGAATATACACTTACCTCATCTAGCAAGTTGTTAATTATGAAGACTTGATAAAGCAGATCATAATAATTTGTCATTGGTATCTTGCTTCCTCTCTTCCTTTTATAAGGAGAACGTGGAGCCTGGAGCTTTACTGTTATGGATCTGTTGCTATGAACCACAGTTACCATTGGAGGTCCTATCATAGCTAAGGAAAATACCCAAAGCTATAAACACAATTATAATTTATTAATAATATTTCATAGAATGCAATTTGAATCCCTTCAATAAATGCTCGTGTTACCTACAATTTATTATGCTGTATTTGCTGGCTCTGTATTTACAGAGTGCCACTCTGTAAATTCTTGCTCCTTGGTACCTATTGCTTAGTTATTGCTATTTTAGGTGTGATATTCCCTGCATTTGTAAATCTGTCTTTGAGTCAAACTTTTTGAAATCTTTTAGAGCCACATGTTGCTGAGTGCCAACTGGTCAAGTGAAATACTTTGGATTCTTTGCCCTGATTTTCTTTTTCCCCTCATATCTGTCTGTGTGCTTGGACTGCACAAACCAGCTATTTGAACCATTTCAGTTATGCCAAGCCTCAGTCATCACTTTCAAATTTTTTGCAATCTGCTTGGTTAAACACAGCTAAGGATTCAAGCTAGTGTCTGCATATGTGTGTGCACAGCCCCAGAAATGTGGGGAGACAGGGCAGCAGCTACCCCATGCATCTCTCCAGGAGGAGAAGGTGGCACAGGGAAAATGGGCAGTTGCTGCTGCAAGGTTCTGCTTTGTGTCAAAACTTGTGGTTTCATCTGTGTAGGAGGCTCAAGGAATTTTGTATTTTGGGGCTGTGAAGTGACCCACATTGACAATTCAATTTTGCATAGACCAGTGAGGTATTGGTTAATTCATGGGGAACTCACCGGTAGGTACATTGGTGCTGTTCAGTTTTTTGACAGTCCTCCATTTCTAAAAGTACTTGGCATTATAATGACAGTACCAAGTAAAAGGTTTTTGCATGTCCTCTCTATATCCCTTTTTCCAGTCAGGAAAACACATGAATGTGATGAGAATGGTGGCCACACAGCACTCAGCTCTCTTCTCTTGTTTCCTCCCATGCAGAGAGTGTTTCCTTTTTTTTTCATCTTGTGTCCTGTCTTTCCAGCAGCTCTAAAAATGGCTGAAAATAATTTGTGTGGTTCCATGCCCTGGGGAAGAGGTTGAATTAGAGCCAGCCAGGCACTTTTCGTCTCCTAATTATTGGTAAGTGGCTATTTAACCATAATTGGTTGACTTTCAAGTGTGGGGAAAATTATTTTAGCACAAGACTTCACCTGAGAGCCATTGACCCACAACTTCTTTAGGTACAGCTTTGTGGCTAGAGAAGGATTACTCATGTTTGCAAATTGTGAGCAGAAATCACGCATTCCATGCCATGGAAAGCCAAATTCCTTTCTGAGAGACCCATATGTTTGCACTTACTTTCTCGCCAGGGAGTGAATCTGCAGCTGAGGCTCCAGTTGGAATAGACACCAGCCAATGCAGCTTTCACTCTGCCATAGTAAGGCTCCTGGATGTCAGAGGTCTCATGTGTTAGGTCACAGACATGGCTTCGAATCCCCCAGCACTCAGCTTTGTTTTGCCATGTGCTCTGCCCATACCTATGGAGAAAGAGGAGGAAGGATGCAAGCTTTAGCTATCGTCAATTAGGTTCATGCAGATTCCTAGAAATCTGCTTTTCCTCAGTGGCACTGACAAGCATTTGCCATGGAAATTAATTGCCTTTGACAGGGAAAATTGATTTTATGGTCATCTGGGAGCTACAGGTTTCTGTCTTTTCTGAAGGAAACTTAAATCAGAGATGTGGGTCACCAGCCCTGTAGGAAGCCACCCCTTACTCGCCCTGCAGGAGAGATGGGCAAGATTTGGCTTAGCCAGTGCGTTCAGCGATGGGCAGAGTGCCGGATTCCAAGAGAGAATTTCTCAAGGGCAATAGTGATTTCAGGCACTCACCAGGGGTGCCAGGGATGGGAGCAGATCTCCTCTGAGGGCCAGCCCTCAGAGTTGCCTCAAGGGTGCCATGTGAGGCATCCTGAGGCAATGTTGTGGGAAAGGTGGACCACCAAAATACCTTAAATGTCCTGTTGCAGAAGAGCTTGACCTAGCCTCTGGCAGGCAGCTGGACCTGGTGACCTTCAGAGGTCCCCTGCAAACTACATTTTTCTTCAACTCTGTGGGGCAACGAGGGTGCAGAGCATATTGCTGGAGGTGCTTGTTCCCTGCTTGCCTTGTGCTGCTTGGCTGCACCTTAGGGATATTGATTGATAAGTGCAGCAACAACTGAGATCTGTCAGCCCAACAAGATGTGGCTGTTCCCCAGGTATGAGGACAACATCCCATGACATCTGAGAAATTCTTTTGATGTGCCCAGCAG